ATGAAGAGCAGTTGTGACAAGAGTATTATATAATTGTTGTAAAACATATACATATAATAACAGGACATATTAAAAGTATACGTTAAGAAATTGATCTTATAACTCCAACATATACATATAATAACAGGACATATTAAAAGTATACGTTAAGATGTTGATCTTATAACTCCAACATATACATATAATAACAGGACATATTGAAAGTATACGTTAAGATGTTGATCTTATAACTCCAACATATACATATAATAACAGGACATATTAAAAGTATACGTTAAGGAATTGATCTTATAACTCCAACATAAACATATAATTCCCGTCCTTCTAAACTGATAGAGTTATTTGATTCTTATTAATCTGGATCATTATTATTATTTTTATTCTCTTAATTAAATTATTATTATTACAACGTTTTTGGGGGTAATTTACTATCATTACAAGATGAGTCAAACTTTCCTATATAATATAATTAAAGTTGGTATAATTATTATAATTATTAATGTTTATATATATATATATATTGGTGTAAGAGCTTAATAAAATATTAACTGAAAGTAATTGAAATTATTATTACAATTTAATTGTAATTTTATCAACATTTGGTTAATTATAGTAAATAATTCGAAGTTTGTTGAAATTAAATTAAATTAGTGTATAAACAACATGTGGTATATTTTGTTTACAATGTACGTCTTTCTAGTGCTCGTTTTCACTGGAAGAACATCCGAAGCTATCCAACTTCGCAAATGGATTTAGAACTCGGGTTTTATTCACCTAGAAGTAGTTTACTTGGAAATATCAGATAACATAGTCCGTATTGTGATGAGCCACGTTATACCTATCATCTTACACGCCAACTAGATAGATGTTAAGGGAACGTTGTCCAAATTACATGTCCCTAGGCGTAGAAAACAGTAATTGTAAGGATTTGGCTCAGGAAGATAAACCTGTAATTCTCTTTGAGTTAACATGAATCTACTTCAAATGTTAATTACGTTAATTAAAAGCTTTTAAGAATGCTATTACGAAAAATAAATAAAATTTAAATAGTCTTATATAAACTCGCAACAAACCTCGGTGTGTTTTTCCCTCGTCAACGGCCAACCAACGACGTTTGGTCGTGGTGACGTCATCACCATCATTAGGATTGGCATCAAGAGAGAAAACATCGTTAACAATTCTTGTGGAAACGCTTAGATACGTCCGGCTGCTATAACCCTAATAAAATACATAGTCTGTGAGTTTTCAAAGTGTTAAACTTACCATTGTTGTAGTACTTGCCTTTTGTACAACAACAATAATGTTTACTAGGGATGTAACTGTCATAACAATATCGATGAAATATCATGGATTTCTTTCATTTTCCCCAAAGATAAACTTGAAAATATAAGTATATATATTAATATAGTATATATATATTAATATATTATATATATTAATAGTATATAAATATTTTTAAAATATTTGTAAGGTAGAAGTCTTCATTCACTCCACTCTTTGTTGTGGACTGAAGTTTGGCCTATTCAAGGCTCATCAGCACAGCTTGGGGCACCACACCAAAGAAATACGGTCAGACACCTTTTAATGGTAATGGTTATGTAACCCTTATGTGTTTTTTTGAGTCCTTTTTAATTACTTTTGATATGTGAATAATATTATGGCATTAGGCCTAGTCTATTATTCGATATTATATAAAAAAAAACACAAATAAATATGTAAACGCGGACGTTCGTTGAAAAAACCTTGCAACTTAATGATTTAGATTAGAACAAAAAAAACGTTACCAAATGATGAACAATTATATTTCAAACCTAACATGATGTTTAGAACTCAATCATTTAACACTCTATTCGTCCAGTTTGTTTGTATGGATCGAACCCTAGATTTTATATATATAAGCCCTCCTCAAGCTTACCGCTGTACCACAGCGGGGGATGGAGATATCTGTCCATAGCGGTATTAAAAATGTGATCTGATATTTGAGTTGATAAACAAATGATCGTTTTTGTACTTTAAATTTATGAGCAAACTTACTTATAACGTTCGAATCGACAGAACAACCAACCAACAAAATCAAGAGGCTGGCAAAACAAACTCTAAAAAAAAAGAGGAAAGCCATTCAATATTAAAGACCATTTATAACATCTAAAGCCAAAACGTATTTATTTATGTATCACATTTTATTTTATTTTTGTTGTTGTACCCGAAGCCATGGGAATGTACTTCTTTAGGGTTAAACATAAAAACAAGTAATCAAACGGAAGCCTGTAATATCGTGGACGTTTCTTGGACAAATTATTTCTGGAAAGAAATTGAACATAAAACAAAAAATTATACCACATGGAACTACATATGTAAAGACAAATCGATAGAGGGACATACGTACATACAGACAGACGTATAGTTGAATCAACAGACTAACGGATATTACGGATATATTATATAAGTCAGGGTTACAAATTCTGAAAACCTGCTTGGTTTATATAGAAGCTAATAGTTGGAGGGAGAGTGTTGTCATTTTATTCAAAGCCGCATCAAATATTAGGGATGGCTACACATAACTTTAAGATATCTTTGAATGACTCCCCCATGGGGTCAGAGTTAAGTTTGCGAACTAATAGTTTGTAGGTTGTACTTCCATCTTTGACGCATATTTACATTTCTTTAAAATACGTTAGCTCGAGTTTAAACTGCGTATGTATATTATTTTGCATGTTTTTATGAACGTATATGTTCCAAAATAAACGTAAGAACTATTGTGAAAAATAACGAAATATCCCACGTTTTACATTTCGTAAATATCAAGCGTGCTTAATCGGGTAGGATATTATTTTCGAAATTATGCACGCTTGTTCGTTTGTGTAAAAGTTAAAATGTGGTAGAAAACGTATAAATACTATGAAAAAATACATACACACGAACTTTCTGTTGGACTAAACCTGACTTAAGAATTACCAGTTTAGTCTGGCGTTCACAGAATGTTAATAACACACGAACTTTCTGTTGGACTAGACATGACAAAAGGATGACCAGTTTAGTCTGACGTTCACAGAATGTTAATAACACACGAACTTTCTGTTGGTCTAAACCTCACCAAAAGATGACCAGCTCAGTCTGACGTTCACAGAATGTTAATAACACACGAACTTTCTGTTGAACTAGACATGACAAAAGGATGACCAGTTTAGTCTGACGTTCACAGAATGTTAATAACACACGAACTTTCTGTTGGTCTAAACCTCACCAAAGGATGACCACTTCTGTGCTTTTCATAGAATATTTACAAGCTACACAACAGCATAACCAGTATTATTTTCGGAATGCAAGTAACAAAAATATTACACTACGACCTAAGTAATGGATAAAATGAATAATTAAAAGTGATTTAATTTGTCATTAATCGCAACTATAAAGTGTTAAATTTATGATAACAAGCTAGCTCCACCAGCGTTTGATCTGGTAGTCGCTGACCAGTAAGGTTAGTATTTCAAGCAGTTGTTACTGTCGTGTTATCCTGTCAGTAATCTAAGTTTTTTTTTGTCTTTAATGTTCTGCACAACTAAATTTCTTTAATTATACAGAACGAGAATAATAATTATTTATTTACGTAGGCTACAAAAATACCATCATAACGTACCTATTACTTACCTCACTGTAAGTTCGGCTTCTTGACAGAGCTGCAATGTACTTAGGTGAAACGTGTTTGACGTTGTTAGTCGCTCAGCCAGGTATGTTGTGAACGTCAAGAATTTCGGTATGGCTGATTTAAGCACGTGCTAAAGACACGCGCTCACTCTCTTGCGAAAAGAAAGTTACGATGTTAACGACCACATGGGACGGCCTTCCAATCGCAATTGTTCAGTGAGTGAAAAGCTGCATTTGATTGGTGTAATGTGGTTGAGATGTCATCAACTTTTTTATTGGTTCGGAAATCTAACACGGCTACCAGTGTATATACAACGTAACAAAATTTGCAGGTGTGTCACATCCCACTGCGTCGTGTCTGATGAGCATCGCTTCTTTTTTTAACTATTGTACTTTATTGTAAGTTTTGAACTATATTATTCGCCCAGCTAACCAAATCAGTCTACTGAGGTGTGTATATTTCAATGTTCACTTTGGTGATTCTTTCCAAACCGACTTGTTACAATCATGTAACTAAACTTAATCAGTGGAATTTGGAATGTTCAAGACCCCCGTAATTAGATACAATTAATCAAACTACGTGCTAGTTTCTTGAATGTGGGATGCTCCCGTAATTAGATACAATTAATCAAACTACGTGTTAGTTTCTTGAATGTGGGATGCTCAAGACCCCCGTAATTAGATACAATTAATCAAACTACGTGTTAGTTTCTTGAATGTGGGATGTTCAAGACCCCCGTAATTAGATACAATTAATCAAACTACGTGTTAGTTTCTTGAATGTGGGATGCTCAAGACTGTTTCGATACCCGTGGTGGGTAGATCACAGATAGCATATTGTGTAGCTTTGGGCTTAATTACAAACAAATAAGCAGTTTTCAAAAGAAAATCCTTTTAGATTTTGTCTAAGTTATTTCGTACGGTCATAAACGCCCTCTTTAAGCCACAACAAGCAACACTTGCTGATGCATTATGGGTGGGGCTGAGTGGGAGAGAAATTGTAAGTACATTCGTTGCTTTTAACTGATTAGTATAATACCATTATCACAAGACACAGAGAATACCAAAATATGTTTAGTAAATCAAGTTCTAAAAAATGAGATAAGACGACGCTTTCGACCTGTTTGTTTATGTGTTTTCAGTTTCGTGCAAAGCTACACGAGGGTCATCTGCGCTAGCCGTCCCTAATTTAAAGTGATATACTACAGAGGGAAAGCAGCTAGTCAGTACCACCCACCACCAAATCTTGGCCTACTCTTTTACCAACGAATAGTGGGATTGACCATCACATTATGACGTCCCAACGACGGAAAGGACGAGAATGTTCGGCGACGGGATTCAATCTCACTACTTACAGATTGCGAGTCGAGCGCCCTAAACCACCAGGCCATGCCAGGCTTCTTTCCGTGGTCGAAAAACACGCTCCGCACTTTGAGTGTCGATCAAATCTCACTATTCAGACAGATGGGGGTAGCCTACGAGTTGACGGTGGGTGCTGTTGATTAGCCGCCTCCTTCCTTTTAGCTTAAGGCCTAAGACTGAAACTAAGGATTTGAATGTGCATCCATAACCTGATGTGCTGTCTCATCTTTTTTTAATTATATAATTAATGTAAAGTCATTCATTCCTAATGATAAATGCATAATTATAAGCTAATTCAGTAGAATTTAAGTTCGGGAATACGTTTTAAAGGTAATGTTTAGAGCTTATTGTCGTAAGAAACCTAATTATAGTATAACCAATATTACTTTACACAAAGACAACGCGATACAAAAACAAATACAATTACTTCTGGCGATTAGCATCGTTTACATAGTATAATTACATTACTTATAGTTCTGACGACTGATGTAACATAATATCTGTCTTTACACAGAAATGTTTCCGTGCTTCAAACAAATAAAGACAGTTATTGGAGAAGGTTGATGAATAAAACTCCGAAATGATCTCATTTGTAAAAGTAATTGGATTTAACAGATGATTCATAAACTTATTCCACAAACACCCACTCTCTCTCCCACCTACACTCGCGGTGGCTCATCGATAAGCTCGAGGGCTTATAATGATAAAATGTAAGTTTCGAGTCTTGTGGTGGGCATCGCGCATTTAATACATTTTACATTTTTATGTTTAAATAGAATTTGTGAAAAGGGCAATGCTGGGGTTCTTGTTTTAGACAGACATGGGTTTGGGGTTCTTGTTTAAAACAGACATGGGTTTGGGGTTCTTGTTTAAAACAGACATGGGTGTGAGGTTCTTGTTTTAAACAGATATGGGTTTGGGGTTCTTCTTTTTATACAGACGTGGGTTTGGGGTTCTTGTTTTTTAAACAGACATGGGTTAGGAGTTCTTGATATAACTGGACATGTGTTTGGGGTTCTTGTTTTAAACAGGCATGGGTTTGGGTTTTTATTTTAAATAGACATCGGTTCGGAATTTTTGTTATAAGTAGACATAAGTTCGGTTTTTTTTTATAAACAGACATTGTTTTAGGGTTCTTATTTTAAACAGACATGGGTCTGAACGCAGATCTACCTTAACCCTAACGCCTCTAGCTGCATCTTTTTATAAATATTTTTCTACACTCTTTATACAATAAATTACTTGTGGGTCCATGACTATTGTTTTTTTTTAACCAGTGTTTTAATTATTTTTCACGATATATATGTTTCTCCGCCTTGAATTTGTAGACGAGCCCTGTCACACGCCAGGAGATTACTCTATGAACTGAACTAAAAGGTAAACCCCCTAGCGATTACACACAGGTCACCTAAGAAATGAATAATATACATAGAAAATAATAATAATAATAAAAAACATCAATAATGGAATTAATCTCACTAATTACAGGTGGAGCCTTCCAAGTGTTTTTTTTATAGTTTGCTTGTTTTGAATTTCGCACAAAGCTACACGAGGGCTATCTGCGCTAGCCGTCCCTAATTTAGCAGTGTAAGGCTAGAGAGAAGGCAGCTAGTCATCACCACCCACCGCCAACTCTTGGGCTACTGTTTTACCAACGAATAGTAGGATTGACCGTTACATTATAACGCCCCCACGGCTGAAAGGGCGAGCGTGTTTGGTGTGACGGGGATTCGAACCCTCGACCCTAAGAGTGCGAGTCGAGCGCCTTAACCACCTGTCTGTTCATCTAGCTATCTGGGTTTCTATCCGGTTATAACTGGTTTTTGAACGTTACACGACAGCACGAAGTTTTAATTAGGCACGTATGATAGGTTTATATTTGTTTTCGCCTATTATCATACGAGCTTTCCTAATGAGTAATGGCTGTAAGTAACTTTACAAGAAACACTACTACCAAATTGATCTCGATAATGTCTTTACGTCAAAAAGACACTTTGATCTTAAAAAGACGCGTCAACATTGATTTACTTATGTACAAGCTTTGATGTTCCTCTCTCTATAAAGTTATCCCTTTTTCGGTCCAGCGTTCCTTAACAACCTCGCCTGCCACTCACGTGATATTTTGAATGCAACGCGCTTATAGTTACGTTAAACATATCACGGCAGAATAACAAGTAACGCAGGAAATTATAAGTGTTTGTTGTTTACCGGGGTACATTATAGGGGATAGTTTTAGATGTATAGTTTCTCAACTCACTCAGCAAATACGCGGTAAGTTCTTGAAAACAAGATTGGGCAAAGTGCGCTTCAGCTATTATTTTGTTAACATCTGTTTCGACGAGGGGTTTACTATAAATCACACATCCGCTAAAACTATGACTGTTTAAACGTGACAGGTGTAAACCAAATCTATAATTACTAGATGTACTTCAGCAGGGTCCCCCAAAGTGTTCTGTTTTAAGAGTAAATAAAACCAAAATTAAGAGTAACAAATATTTTTATTTCTTGCTTTTAAAGTTCATATGTCATGCCGTGTTGCATAATTCTTCTCGTGATTCATAGTATACGCACGTTTTACTGATGTCACGACAGTACAAATTGCAACGTTAAGTGCCCCTTATCTGACGTCATTTTAGTGTCTACTAACTGACCGACAGACAACACACTACTGTATAGTGGTGCGAGTGGTTAAAGCAGGTAACCACTCCAGGCGGCCTTCGGGCCCCTTTCGAGGAAATTATGTCTGCATCTTTGTCTGTTTATCTATCTGCTCTTCTGTCTGTCTGCCCATTTATCTATATATCTGTCTGTCTGTTTTCTTTATATTTGTCCCTATATCCATATGTCTAGCTAGTTTTCCTTGTTCCTCCTTGTTCCTTTTTTTTTGCTTATCAACAGTGTATATATAGATATCGTCTAGATATATACTTTCAACACATTCTCACCAGATAACATTACAGAAAGTTGGGGATGTGATGAGTTATTGGTTGTTTGTAATTTATCTCGTCTTACCAATACATAAACACGAATCGCGGTGGTACGGTATTGAATTTTGTCGTCTATACTCCTCCATAAGTTCATTTTTTTAAGTATTCTGTTACAGAAAAAAATTAAAAAGCAAACGAAAAAGGGGACTATTTTTTGTAGCGCTATAAGTTCTCTTTCTACTGTTCTTCAGCATACACTCATGTTTTTTTGTTGTTGATGTTTTTTTTTACAATTATGTGTCGAATTATCGCCCTTATTCACTTTCAGTGTGATGTTTTTTGGAAATCTCTAACACCACAACTTTATTTTTGAAATAGAACCATTTCCTTTAGTTATTTAATTCACCACAAATTGGGAATTTTGGTAATAAATGTACATAGATGTATACGTTTATTTTTAATTATGCATAAAGCTACACAAGGGCTATCTGTGCTCTGCCCACCACGGGTATCGAAACCCGGTTTCTAGCGGGGGGGCGCAGATGTATACGTTAACATGTTAATAAATCCGAAGCAATTTAAACAACACTTCCAAATCTGTGATTAATTTCTTTGACTTCTTTCTTCACAAATGGCTACAATCAGTAAAAGGTGATATAGATGAGGCCTCAAGCACTCGCATGTTTTTTTTTCTTATAATTCTCATACTTATACATGTAAACAAAGGTTAAATATGGTGGACGATGTATCCCCACCAATTTGTAGGTTCTACATCCATAGATACCTCAAGCTGGCA